ATAATGTGGAAAGGGATTCAAAGTACAAAGAATTCAGCTTCATGTGCTTTCTTACTGCTGGCCCATGGTATCTGCAGATCATTTGCAGGGAATAGTTGGTTGGAAAATTACCTATCTGCTGTGGGTTTCACCAGTGATGTCTTCTCTGCTGTCCCTTCAGCACGCATTTCAAATCCATCCCAATCTAGAAGATGTCTCACAGCTATCTGATGCCAAGGCATGGTATAAATTTAAAATCCTGGGTATTCACAGGTACATCTGCAGAGTTACTTCTGCAGCTAGACCCAAACTAGCTCTAAATGGGGTAAGTCAGAAGCAGCCAAACATGAGTAACAAGAATTTAGGGAAAAGAGGCCCACAGTAGCTTTAGGCTGCTTCTGCTCACCATGTTATCTCCATTAGAGGTACCTCTGCTCTCTCTGCACTGTATGATATCCCTCAGCTCATTAACCTCAGTGCCATGCATTTACCTCAGGACGCAGTTTCTATGCTGCATCCTGTTGCAGTATTGTGAATCCAAGCACATTTCCGCAGGGAATGCCTGTGGCAAGGGACAGGAGACTACAGAGCACTGGGAAACAGATTATAGGGAAATTAAATCTCTCCGTCCCCCCATATCAGTAATGCAGAGCCCAAAAATAAAATGTCCAATAAATTAATAGGGCATCCATCTGAAAGCTAAAGAGTTCTAAGGGTTCTGGGCTTTCTGACCCTTCTGGCTGCTGATGGTAACTGGCAAGCTTGGTCTTCTTTGTGTTGCAAAGGGCCAGCCTCTCAGCTGGCTGTACCCTGAGAGTGGTCCTATTCTGTTCCTCAGAGGGGTAAGAGAAGGAGATATCTCCAGAAGCCATTACACATTTCTTCTCTGGTCGAGGCACCCTTCTTTATGGCTACTGAAAAAGAGAAAAAGAGAGGTATGGGTCTTTTATAGTCTGGTAGTGCTGACATTCCCTCCTGTTCCTACAATGGTAGCAAGAGAAGAAGGTGTGTTTAGACCTGGTGCCTTTGCAGTAGAGCCAGTGGAGTTTGTGAGGGCTTGTGTGGTACAGCCAGCACCCCTGGCAGGTTGGCTCCCTGGCATAGCACGGGCATCTAGTCATGGTTCAGGCTGTGGGAAGAAAGAGGGGAAAGAGCCTAGCCTCACTTGAGAGTCCAACAGCTGAGCTGCAGCATGGAAAGCAAGCATGCACTGCTTCCCTCACCCCTGGCCATGCAGGATGGGCTCTTTCAGACTTTAATCTCCCTGTTGCCACATTTTTCTTTCTGGCATTGGCTCTTCTCTTAATTAGAGAGGAGCAGCTGCAACCTCCTAATAACCAGTTTGTACTTAGCAGCTGCTGATGGTATTTTGGTACTGTCTCCTCTCTCCTGTTGCTGAGCTGGCTCTTTCCCCTTTGTAGAGCTCACTGCCTGGGCTTCCTCCTCCCCAGTGAGCCCGGGCCAGCTGCAGGAAGGTCACCAGGAACTTGAGGAATTAATTTTACTGGAAACCACATCCAGAGAGACACAGGCTGGAGGCGGAGAAGAAACTTGATCTCGTCAGTCATAGGGGAAGGAGAAAGGACAGGAAGGGTTTGAGATTGTTTCTTTTTCAGTGAAAATTTAGGAGACAGACAAAAGAGAAGCAAGTAGAAGTCAAACTTTTGATCAGGTGAGAGGAGAGCTTTTGCAACAGTTTCCCCAGGAAATGCTCTGCCAGTGTTTTCACTTCCCTCAGCTTCATACTTCACAAGGTCTGCAGATCTCCTTAACACACAAGGAAACAAAACCCAAGGTCACTGTCACACTGTGGTATGTCTCTGCTGTGTTTTGGTTTTTTTGGGGTTTTTTTTTTTTTTTTTTTGCAGCCTGAAGAGCTGGAGCACCCCAGCAGCCTTATGTGTAAAAGGTCAAAATTTGTATTTGCCATCCAGAACTTACCCAGGCTACTTCTAGTACCCTCTGGGAGGCTGGGGGGCAATGGAGGATGAGAACTGCTTGCACAGGTGCTGTGGGTGGGCTGCAGTACCCGTAAAAGCACTGCAGTGGGGCCAGCTGCTGACCTGATGTGTCAGTACTTTGGTCCTCACTTCCTCGCTGTGTGTCTCTGTGACTGTCTAGTCCTGCCACGGAAATAGGGATGAGGGGATGTGTCTCCCTGGTGCACACATGGGAAGAGCTTCTGTTTAAGTGAAAGAGCAGCATTTTATATTACACAGATATAAGTAGAAGTGCCATATTTTATATAGAATATATTGTGTTATGTTTTGTCCTATTCTGTTCTAGGTTATTCTATTCTACTTTGCTTCTCCCTCCATTCCTTTCAGATGGAGAGTCTCGCTCTTTGTATATATTCATGCCACAGGTTTGGGGGTCTTTTTTTTTTTTCTACCAGACTGTCACTCAGTCCATTGCTTGTTTCTGTGGGGTTTCTGAAAATGATGACATTCAGATATGATTATGAGGGTCTTGGAGTGGGATTTTTACCTGATAGCTTGTGAAAGCCTTTAGAGAGGCCAGAGTTTAAAAGCTCCTGAGGATCGTGTCTCTGAAAAGCAGAATGTTTAGATAGGGTAAATTAGTGCAGTGCAGGAAGAAATTGCTGTTGCATGGTCTTACACTTACATTTGCTTTAGCTTGTGCACAGGTATGTCCTGGGTTAGTCCAGCTGGAAAAGATCCCAGTTCAATGGGAAGTGTTTCTTCTCCCAGCACCTGAGGCACGGGTAGGAAGACAGTGGATCTTGTGCTTTTGCTCAGGCTCTCTTGCTGCAGGGACATTGTTGTCATCAGCAAGACCTTGTTAGCGGGACCTGCCAAGAGTCCAGTGTTAACATTGCCATCATGCAGGTTCTAGTATTGACCACCTGGTGTGAATACCATATGGTTTAGACTTTCTGAGACAGCCTTGTGACCTGCTTACAATAAAAATGCATCTTGGAGCAGTCTGGCAAGCTGTATTCAGATGCTCTTGGGCCTGATGCCTCTGGACAAAAGAGGTGGGATGAGACATGGTCACAGCTTGTGACCTTGCACAGCTGAGGAAGGAAGAGGAGTAAGAAGCAAGTGGGAAGAGATAATTTATTTTATTTCATTTCATTTTATCTGCGATCCAGGGGTGTGCTCTCAGCTCACGCAACCGCAGAGAGGCTAAAGTATTGGATGTCTGTCTTGGGGAAGGGAAATAGTAATCAAGTGAGGGTACCATCTCATCAGTGAGGGGAATAGCACATTTCTGCCGGTGCAGAGTGGGCTCTCATTAGGATGGGGAGAGAATTTGTGAATCAAAGACACCTTGACGTTACCAATAGACCCTGAAATCCTCCTGTGATAACATCCTGAAGGCAGAGCAGTCTTGCCTGCTCCCTTTTAAGAGCATGAGTGAGCAAGGGAGGGACAGGAGACCCATACACTGACTGGCTCAGCCTAGAGAAACCTCCAAACATTGTTAACCATCACTGATAGGCAGTGGACACACTCATTTTCAAACTCATTAACTCGTTGTCATTCACCCGAGAGAAGTTACTTTTAAGAACCTGCACCTGAATGCTGGGAACATCATTGTATTTCCCTGGAAAACCAAGAGAATCCCCTTTACAGTTCCTCCCACGTGCCTAACTCAACATTGGGCACTTAAACAAAAGCCTTCAGAAATGGTGTAAAAGCAGATCATCATACACATGCCACACTGCCACTGATGTGGTAAAACGTTGGTTTGCTGTACTAGAAAAACAAGTTACCACCCTGCTTAGCAAGACAGGAGCCATCCTCCAGTGCTTTCCTTTCTCCCTCACCTGGTTTTCACTCCTTATCCCACCTGGGCTTGGATGAATTTCCCTGAGAAGCCTCGGATCAGTACCATTTGGTCCCTCCAGCCTTGGAAGCTCTATCTGCTCTTTATGAAGTCATCCAAATCTGGCCAGATTTCTTCCCCAGAGAATTCATTAGCTGAATCTAACCCACGCTGTTGGGATTATAGCTATCTTTGATCCTGCTGTAGTTAGCAGACATGGCTGCATGCCACGTAGCGCGTCTAATCTATATTTGCTTTGCATCCTGTGGCACAGAGCTGGGAAGAGATCCCCTGGGAGAAGAAAGCAGCAGCTCCCCACTGCAGTCAGAGAGAAATGAAAGAGTCTTATTTTCCCTTTTTGTGGGAAGTGCCATGGAGAAAACTCTTTGGTGCTTTGTATTCTAATTATCTCCAAGTGCAGCCTCACGACTTGGTTTGCGGTTACTGCATAGGAGAGATGAGCTGACACATGTAACCCAGCTACCAGGAGCTCAATTAGCTAAGCTGCACCTACAAGTCACGGAGGCAGGCAGCGTTTCCCAGACAACTACAATAGGGCCTGCAGAGTACTTCTGTATTCAGAAACAGAGGTGCTTTAATCATCTGCAAAGCATGATTAGGGTCTGACCTAAGCGTGGAAGTGAAGCGTGGAACAAGGCAAAAGCAATACCTGGGGCATAAAGACATTGGGGTGGGAAGTGCTGGCAGTGCAGAGTACAACGGAGTCTATTCACTGTCCCGATGGCACACTGTGGTTCTTAGGATGTGATAATTACCAGGGAGGTAGGAAACAGTGAGCAGCACTGGAGGATTTGCATGAGTTGCTTGTAGGGTACCTGTACAAATGACAGCTGTGCTGGTACCTTATTTCCCTCTGAGGATATTATGGGCTGCAGTGTGCCAGCCTGATGGCAGCACAGCCTGTCTTGGGACTTTCTGAGTGTCTGCTGGAACATCTTCAAGGGCTTGAGGTACTGCCAACAATTCACCTCTCTCACTGCATACCTGCCTCTAATTGCAAACCAGATAGGCTTTGACAGAATATTGGCCAGTTAAAGTTTCCATCCCCCCAGCTACATGGTTCTGCATCCCATGTGCCTCCAATTTGCCCTCTAGCTTGGAAAGGCTTATCATCTGTGCAGTCATCTGACCCAGCCCACTTTCTTTCTCCTGCTGGGGGCTGCATTTCGTCTCGTGGTGGATGCAGCTGGCTCTAGCTGAGAGATGTAAGATTTACCTCACACATTCATCAAGCTGTCAATTTGTGAGTCCTTGCCAACCAGGGAGTGCACTTGACGGGCCAGTGTTTGTGGTGTGTCAGACAAGTGGGAGACATGAGGAAGGAGAGGGCTGTGACGCTGTACCCGAGGAGGAGAAATGCAAGATGTCCGTGCTCAGCTGTGAGGAGGGGAATGGGTAAAGTAGATCAAAACTCTTCTTACCTTATGAGGGACTTTCCCCCTTAGTGGGGTTTGGTTTTTCGGGTTTTTTTGTTCTTTTCTTTTTTTTTTCCCCCATGTGTTTTCCCCATTAGTGGAAGAGATGAAATGAAAAGGAGGTGCTGGGGAGGAAGGGGTGACTGAGGAAATAAGCACACAGAAAGGAGAAGATGTGTTGGAAATTATAATTGAAAATCATTGTTTTCTGTGCAAAAGGGGAATTCAGGCAAGAAGTAACTCCCTTTCAGACTGTTTTAGTAGAGGCTTGGGAATGACTCAGATGGCAAGTGCTGCTTTCAAAGTGAGGAGCTGTGTGTGGTTAACTCTTCAAACACAGCTGGCTTGATTTCCCCTTTCAGATTCCACTGGAGCACTGAAATTGCTGTTAGCATCACTGTCATTTGAAGCTGGTGCCTGGAGCCTTGCTGCGCTGGAGCTCCTTCCCAAAAAGCCCAGGCAGCAAGAGAGTTGTCAGGGATGCCAGGGCAGCTGTGATTTGAAGATCTTCCAAAGCAAGTAGGAGGTTTGCTTGGGGTATAAACTGTAAGCAGTGTTTGCTTAACTACTCTGGCAACATTAACTGGAACACTGTGACCTCCCTGCTTGTGATCATATGCTGTGATGAGTGAAAAATTAAATTCTTTTTAGAATCCTAAACTACTAGCAGAAAATGGAAGTTTTACCGCACTCTAAACCACTGTTGCTGTTACTGAGATCTAAAATACAGGTCTGTTTTCTCTGGATTTAAGATCTCTGGGGTGTGTTTTTAAGGTTCTAGTATTTGCTTAAACTGGAAGTCGTACTTGTATTTCTTAATCTTCTATTTTGGCTGTATAATTCTGTCTTTAAGCTTCATTACACTAGGTGAAACTCAGCCCTTGCTAGTAGAAAGTCAGTATTTACAAACCACTGTACGACGGGGATCCAACCATTTGACCTAACTGAGAACCAGAATGTGACTGCAATGTCCCAGAAGCTGCAAGTGCTCCAGCTGTTGTCTCAGTATGAGCAAGGCTTTGCCTGCCAGCCTCCTGTCTAGTCCATGTGAAAGGTTTGTGACTCAATTACTGACTACTACTTTTAGCTTAAAATGGTGACAACCCACATGTCTAAAATGCAGAAGCAGCAAATTTCTCTGTCTTTCAACTCTCCCGAGTTCACTGACGTGACAAGGTTTGCCAGGGCAGTGAGTTGGACCAACTAATAGATGAATAAAAACAAACGAGTTTTTAGGAGTAGAAATCCTTGCTTCAGTCTTTTTTATGAGTGCAAATGTCTCTTGCTACAGTGGCTTGCTCCTGGATCCCGGGATTTATACCTGCTTTTTACCCTCCATCCTGGGGGGACCTGCAGAGCTCTGCTGGGCTGACCTGGCCTGAGATGCTCCAAGCTCATGAGGTGGCAAAATATGGCTCCTGTGGTTTTTCTTGATGAAGCTTGCAGCTGGACACGTGGCGTGTGCTGCAGAGACCTTTCCAAATTCTGTCTGTGTTCTTGGAGGAAATGCAGAACCACTCTGGGACCCAAGCCAGGCGTGGGGTTTATACCCAGGCTGGAGCACACTGTCAGAGACTAAATGCCTGCAGAGGGGCCATGGCAGCAGACCCTTCCCAGTGCTCCTCTGCCTGCAGTGGAGGAAGGAGGCACTTTCCAGGCCTTGCAGCAGAGGACAGCAGCACAATGGTGCCCTGTGCTGCAGTGTGAGGGTAGAGTGCCCCCCCTGGGTAGCCAGCACAGGGGACACTGCAGGGAGCGTGTCCTGCGAATCACGAGTGCTGGCTGTGGGGTAGTTTAGCTAGGGTTTGACTTTGGATGATGCAGTCCTTAGCCCATCCTGCACACTAGATGGGGCCAAGGGAGGATTTGCCTGCAAACCCCCTCACCTTCAATCTGCCAGACCACAAACTGCTTTGGGAGCAGCCCAGGAGCACTTCTGCTTCCCTCTCAGACATCCTTTTCTATCCACCATACCAAGCACTCTCAGAAATCTGTTTCTAATATTTGCTGTGTCTTTTTAGAGAGTTGTCTTTACACCCAAGCTTAATTTTCCTGGCTCCCCCTACTTTTCTCTTTCCCCTCTGCAGCCCTATCTTCTCCCCCAGCTTGAATTCTGTGCATGCTAAGTCCAGGAGAGACCATGAACTGAAAAGACTATTAATGAGCTCCTTAGAATGGGTAAGTTTTTATTGATGGGGAAGACCAAAGCAAAAAGGAGTGGTTTTTTAGCATTTTGGGCAGCATCAAGAGACATGCCTCGAGGAAAAGACAAATCCTATCCTTCATACCTGCCTGAAGACACAATTAAACTGTTTCACAGGCACCATTTGAGGTTTGTGAAGGCTATTGTAGAAACAATGCTCAAGTATTTTAGGTCAAAAAAAAGCCAGTTACAGCCTCTACATGATCAATAGGTGAGTATCAGAAGCCAAAGCCCAGAGGATGCTCTCAGGCACATGGTGTGATTCTTGGGGTATCCTGCACAGGGCCAAGAGTTGGACTCGATGATCCTGATGGGTCCCTTCCAACTCAGCATATTCTATGAACCTGGGTGCCCATGCAGGACTTGCAAGTGAATGAAACACCAAGTGACCACTCCAGAAAGAGATGTTGGGGAATGGGATTTTTTTGGCATTCTTCCTGCAAGGCCACCCCAGGGCAATGCCAGGTTCTCCTACATTTTTAAAGCTGTGTTCATTCTTTTGTGTTTTAGGCATGCAACAGATGCATTTACCCTTGGAACGGGGTTTATTAAAACTCTGACTGGGCATGAAAAGCCAGTCAGCATTCCCTGAAGACTGGAATGTCTTCTAGGCTTGTTGTCTACCTTGACTAAGATCTCTGATATATTTCAGTTAAAGAGTTACCAAAACCAAACAAGTAAAACAAGCTTGTAATTCAGAAGCGATTAGATTGGTCTTAAAGGAGAAATATACAGATATATTTTATTTTTATAAGTAGAAAAATTAAGTATAAAGTTCCTGTAGAACCACTCTTTGCCAGAGCAAACACATCAATCATTTAATAATTTCCCATACTAGCAGGAATGCACACAGCATCTTTTGTAGGAAAATCACTTTTCAAAGGACACCAGTTTTGACATTACACAGCTGAACAGCTGCTCATTTCTTTTTTTCTCTAGTGCCTTGGCCACCACTGCTTTTCCAATAACTCTTTCAGGGAAAGACAGGGGAGAACTCCATTTTAGATTAAAAAACATTTCGGTTTTTTGAGAGCCTCCCCCAGAGACCTATCAAAAGCAACACGCAGTAACAATACAGTGCATAGTTCTCTTGCCTTGGGAAAGGAGCTCTCTTTAAAGCCCAACTAATTCATTAGAAGGGATTATAGGATTAAAGAGCTCCTAAAGGCTAGAGACCCACTTCTATAAGACAGTAATTGTTTATTTCAAGGATAGTGATGCTGCAGCTTTCATGAGCCTCAGAGTTAGTACATCCAGAGATGCACAGGAGATCAATCAGCTCTCCAGACACCCAATCAGGGAATCCAAAAATGGTTTCGGTACAAGAAAATTCTCTATTAAGTTAATTAGCTTCACGTATGGAAAGTTCAGATTAAGAAGAGGATGTTGCTTTGACGTTGTTTTGCAGGCAGTCACCACTCATGAAATGATCTTCACTTCAGGCTTGGAGTCTTCCAAGGCTCTCAGTTCATCATCCACTTCAGCACTCCACAAAATGTCATACAAACTACACCAAAACAAAAAGGCAAGCAAAGTTTAGTGAGCATCCTCCTGTTAAAGAAAGAGAACGATGCACAGATGGCCAGTATGGGAAGATCATATAACAGGAAGGGCCCCATCTAGGTTTGAGTCCGGCCCAACAGCCAAAAACATGCTTTACAATCCAGAGCCTTATTACTCCCTCACCAGCATCACGTTCTCCTTGTGCTTTGGCCCTGTGGACCAAAACAGATCAAGGCACTGTGGTCATGTCACTTGGACATGCAGACAGCATTTGAATCCCCTCCGGTCACTAGTTGCCCTCAGGTGCAATTCCCAGAGAGCCGGTGCTTGCGGCCCCCTCCCCACAGCCTCCCAGCTCTCTGAGTTCACCACCTGCCAGGGGGAACACAACAGGGCCACAAACGTCTCTCACATTAACTGCTGCACATTGCAGCTGGGATTCCTCAAGGCTTCACAGATCTTCCTGACGCCTTCGTCTTCCAGAGGGTTGTAGCTCAGGTCCAGCTCGGTAAGGCACTGCTTGGTGGTCATGACGGTGGCGAGGGTGGCACAGCAGGCTGCCGTCAGATCGCAGTTACCCAGCCTGCAGGGAGAGCAGGGAGAGGACACTGCAGTGAGCCATGGCTCCAGGGACCACCAGCCCACCCTCAGACAGCAGACACAGACATCCTAGCATGGAGCAGCAATCTCTGTGAAGCTGACAGCTCTGAGATATCAGCAGGGGCTGGCCCGTGGTCTCAGCACAGAGACAGCCACCCTCATGGTGACTGCTGAACACCTAGAAGTCCTCCCTAAAGCTTAATAATGTGTGGCTACAGGGGTAGAAGGAACCCATAGAAGATATTCCCAACTTCAACACCAGGCATCATGTTTTTGGTTTAAAGTGATCATAAATCATCTCTAAACTTTAGTACTATGTGAGTGCTATTTGAGACTTGCAACAATCTCTCCAAAAAGGGCAATTGAGACCTCTCAGTTGAGAAGCTTTAACTGGTCAGCAAACATGTCTTTCTGGAAGAGACTTCTAGTCTTACTTATGCCTCCCACGACCCTTTGACTCAACTCACTCACTGTAAGACTCAGGCATCAGAGCACAGCTCCGGCTTCTGTCCAGAGGCATGGAGAAGGCACTGAGGTGCCCTGAGCATCACACAGTCCAGAGCTCAGTGCCCACCTAGGAAGGGACAGGCAGATGGAGAAGGCAAAGCCCACCACAGGGCTGGAGGTGATGCTCCAGATGGCCTCCTACTCCTACCAGTGAGGCTGGATCAGTACTTGTATTTGCACCCATAGGGACTATGGGAATAAGGGGTAACAGGTGAATCCAGGCAGGCTTTGCACTGAGACTGGCAGGCATGAGAATAAGCACATGACACCTCGACCAGCAGTTTCTCCATCTCAGTGTTTCACCTGAGAGAGGCCCTGCACATGAGTTTAGAGAAGGGCACCAGAAGCTCTACAGTGCATGGCTCCCACAACAAAGCAAGATCACTCCAGCCTCCCCACTCTTTGTCCCAGGTACACTGTGCTGTGAACTTTCAGTTCTGCACCTGGGACAGCACCTGTGGACAGCTACGAATGCACTGTCACACAGGTGCCAGCCTGTACTTTCGAGATCACGAGTGACAGAATACATAGATAGAAGGTGTGGCTTCCACTGACTTGCTCCTGGACTACTTAATCATCAGCTTGTGGCGGAAATTGTTTCATAATGAACAAAACAAAAAAATACCACACTAACATCTATTGCTCTCTCTCTCTCTCTGCACAGTCTTGGAAGGGTAATGCAGCAAGAGAGAAGATGACTTCTGAGGGTGCACCTTACCATAAGGACTGGATGTTGCAGTTGGGGTGCAGCAGCCCTTCACAGAGGAGTTCAACACCTGCATCTCCCAACTTGTTCTCACCCATGTGCAGTACTTTCAAGTGCTTGTTGGTGCTGAGAGCAGAGCTGACAACCTTGCAGCAAGCAGTCGTGAGCCCGCACTCCCTAACCCTGCAAGGCAAAAGTGACATGAGATCTAGGTGGGAGATCTAGAGAGTATCAGGCACCGTTCGCTTCTCTACATTTGCTTAACAGGAGCCCAGGCAGTGGGAACAGAGAAACCAGAGTTTTCCCATAATCACTGTACTCCCCTCAACCCCCATATGCTCCGTTCTTTCTAAGCAGCACCTCTCCCACTCTTATATGTGGGCTGTCTGTCTCAGAGCGTGCACCTACGAAAGGCACCTGCCCATCAAGCACAGGGACAATCAAAAATGAAGCACACTGCTCTAAAAGTCACTCTTGGCTCCACCATGCACTCCTGAGGTTGACTTCCAAGCCTCCAGTGTAGGGCAAGAACCCAGCTGGGGCAGGAGCTGAATTTGCAAAGTAGAAAAGTTCAAGTGTTGCTTGTTCAGTTTCTGAGTGAAAGAACAAATTTCCTCTCCTGGCCACCAGACCGTCCCAGACTAAAGGGTAACACAGTCAACAGGATAGGATGCTGAGAACTGTTTATGTCACTACAGCTTCTTTTGGCTGATCAGTGAGAGAGATTAGATCCAGTGGAGAACCTGAGATATATGATCACAGCACTCAATTTGCTATTACAAGAGGCCTTTCAAATTTCAAAAGTCTCTCAGCTGACATTTGTTGCACAATAAAATATATTAGAAGCTCTACAAGTGATGTTTGGTCTCCTATTAACAGGACTATGGGGCAGATCTTCAAAGTGTCTACGAGTTTAGAAATACAAATACCTTTTAAGTTTTTAAGTCTATAAAAACCCTCTTCAACTCCATAAATCCTTTCATTAACAACCAGCACAAATTGTTTATACAACCATTGCAACTGAGCATCAATCTGGTGGGCACTACTTCACTTACATCTTTCTTCAGTGAAGCCTTCAAAGAAGGCAGTGGATACGTGAAACTTGACAGCAGCTCACCATAGCTCCTGAAGTTTAGATTTGGGATCCTTGAGCGCCTGACACAGCATTTCCATCCCTGAGTCTCTCAGGTTATTGTCTATTAGACTGATCTCTGTGAGGGTCTCTTTTGTACTGATGAGTCTGGAGAGATCTTTACAGCTAGCACTTGTGAGATCACAGTCCCATAACCTGCAGGGAAGAAAAAAACCATTATTTTCTCCCAAGAATGACTTAGATCAGAAAACAGAATCCTATTTTAGTATTCTGAATTTCTGGTTACATCATCTCATTTTCTTCTATCCTTTACAAAACCCATTCATGCATCATATCACACAGCTTTCTCCTTACTTTCCAATTGTTGCAGAAAAGCTCTGTTTTTAACACACACACACAAAAAAAGGAACATGCAGTTCTAGTAGATAACAGGAAACCAAGACAATGCCACCACAAACTTCCATTCACACTCTTCCCAGAATCTGATCCAAGTGATTTCAGCGTGGTTCTGCTTGCTCATGATGTCCTCCACCAGTTTTGAGAAGGAACTAATCTGCAGCTGAGACATTCTTTTTTCATTGGGCCAGAGGGGTAACAGACGCTTTCCACTTAGGAGCGAACCAGCAGCACAACCTTGAAAGCTTGGGGGCTGGACAAGGGATTTAAGAAACCTCTTCCCACCCTTACCACAGCTTCTGGATTTTGCAGTTAGGATGCATCAGTCCTTGGCAAAGCAGAGCCAGCCCGGAGTCCCCGATCTTGTTATCCCCCACAGAGAGATCCATCAGTGATGACTTGTTACTGAGAACAGTGCTAATATCCCGACAGCTGTCGCTGGTTATGCCACAGTTCTCCAGGCTGCATGAAAAAGCACAGTTGGAGTTACTGCTCCAGACCTGCTGTATTAAGATACACTCCAACACGCCCAGTTCAGACTGAGAAGGGTCTATGTGCTGCTTCCTTGCTGCAAACCAGTGCAGCCCAGCTGGGCATTGCTAGATCCTGCAAGGCTCAGAGATGATACAGGTGTCCTAGGTGGGCTCTGGGTGAGGCAACACACTGCTCCTGCATTTCATGAGGCTGCAGGACATTTTTACTCTGACCTACCCATTCATAACCATTAAAGCAAGGATCATTCTTGCCAAACTCCCACTTTATATTGATTATCCCTTTTAAGAGGAACTTTTGACTGTATCATAAAGTCCCTGCTGAGCCAACCCCTGCTGAACCACAGGGGCAATATAAAATGAATTGTACTTCTACCCTAAAGCCCGTCAAGGGCTTTACCCCAGATACAAGGCCAAGTCCAGCACCTCTGTTTTGTAGCAAAAAAGGGCTCTAATAAGTATGCTCAGCTGGCTAGTAATTCAAAGTTAAGAACTGAAGCCACTGAGGGTACTTGTTCCTCTGCTCTGAGACACTGGCGAGCAGTCCCCCCTTGTAAGTGCTGGTTTACCTGTGGTACCAAAATTTCCAAAACTGAAAGCTGTACACTCGTTTGTGTACTGCCTTCTGTTATATAAATCTGAGCCTGCAAAAAATCTGGCCTAAATTTCAAGCATTCCTGGCAATAATTTTTACTGTCTTATGGATGGTATGACTAGCAGCAGGACTGGTTGAAATTAGAGATGTCCAGCTCTTCCTTACTGTAGTAACTCTAGGTTGCAGCTTGCCTCCACCAGTCCCCGGCACAGCTGCTTTACAGCTGTATCTCCCAGAGTGTTGTTGCTCAGGCTGAGTTCCTTCAGGGTGGGCTTGCTTTGCAGAGCGGCATTGAGAGCTTCCACAATATCAGCTGTGAGTTCACAATATTCCAGCCTGCAAGAAGAAAAGAATTCCAGGCAAAAAACCAACTGTCTTTACCACGTCTCACGATCTGCAAGAATCAGCTGTGGGCAAAGTGTGTGTTAGCCAGGGCAGAAAAGATGCCAACATGAGTTGAGACCAGGCAATGCATAAAGACAGAGATAACCATAAGAGTTTTTAACAGCATCTCTCTGCTCATTGCAGGAAGCATTAATTCTTAAACCAGACCCTAAGGGACCCTAGCAAGACTAATTACCCACCCATTTTTACACTAATCCTCCATTAAACCACTGCACAGGTTGCCCTGGAGCACGTGACTGAGCTCTACATTGCAACACCATCTCACAGCCTCACCATCGGGCCTTCCCAGCCCGAGATGGGGGCTGCAAATAGACCAAGGTCCCGCTCAGTCATAAAACAAAGACCAAGGGCAGCAGAATCTGATGCCCTCTGGATGTCTAAGAGGTCCTGCATTTACAGCCACCGCTGCCAGGAGGCCTAAACAAAGCCTGTGGGAACAGACACCCAAGTCTTACAAACCCACGACACCCACCGGTGTGAATAAGTGTGACACAATTTCAGGTAAAACAAGAAGAAATCCACATCTGGGAACAAAACTCCTCCTTCTCTCAAGGGAAAGACAAGCATGACCTGTCTGATGACCAGAAAATCCCAGTGACTACTTACTGCAGCTTCTGCAGCTTACAGCTGGGGTTCATCATCCCTTGACACAGCACCTTCACTCCAGCAGTTCCCAGTCTGTTGTCACCCACGTGCAGCTCTGTCAGGGATGGCTGTGCACTGAGGACAGACCGCAGGGTCTCACAGCTGGCACTTGTCAGATTGCAGTTTTGCAGCCTGAAGGAGAGAGGCAACCAGGGTGAGGGAAATGCAGCCCCAGAATTACAGAGGCTCTTCTCAGCGAGGTGTATCTGCCAAGGTTTGAGCTTGGAAAGGACACCATGGCACTAACCCTCTAGGAAACGATATATCCTGGTTAGTGCTGCTGTTTTACACATGTTAAAATATTCTCTCAGTTAGTATTATATCTGTACCATGAATAATAGCTCCCATGCTTCCTTCGGCATAATTGCTCATGCAGCACCTCCAGCAGAATAAATAAGGATCCACCCTACATGAAGTAGCACCACAACTGCTTTATAGAAGTATTTTAATTATCATGAGGCTGATCCCAGAGATAAAGCAGTGGCATCTTATGATTTATTGCCCCCTCTAGAGATATGACCCAGAGTAGCTAGAAGTTAAAATTTCATCCTACTTGGCTTAAATCCATGGATATCATTTAGATGTTTATTGGTATACTCTAAGAAGGGTCTACAAAGTTGATCCTTCAGCACTCAGGCTTGGAGAAGTAGCACAGGAACTGTGCTAGTATTGCTATGGGATGTTTATATAGTTAGTGGACAGGACTTTGTGGCAACGGAGAGAGGTCATGAATGGAGGTACTAAGTTTGACTTGGGTTTGTTTGCTCTCGCTAGAACCTCAAAAATGGACAATTATATTTCTACAGAACTGAGAAAACCTAATCCAGGCTGTTACTTGAGCATCTGGAGAAGTGTGAAGCCTAGGACAAACTCTCTGAAAAATTACTTAAGTCTTCCAGTACAGAGTACCACAGTTATTTCTTGAAGGCTCATCAGAGAGTTGCAATTTGATTAGCTTCACAGTCAACTTTCCCTCTATTTGTCTGAGTCCTCATTGCAGGGGACACAGAGACTTTGAAGCAGGCATATCTGGTTTAAAAGGCAAATGATTTTTACAAGGTAGTGTCCTAGACCCCCTTCACAAGCTGGAGGACTCCAGTATCCTGAAGAAGAGATGCTGGACAGAGAAACCATCTCTTTGAGGGCTTCTGAGGAGCAGGGGCAGCAGCCATTGGCTCTGACTAAAGCTCCTGCACCAGGGTTGCTGATGGAAGCTCACTTATGCTATAATGTGGCAGGGTGCCTCTATAAAACATGCTGTCCCAAACCAAGCTGGCTCTGCCCAGCTGACAAGACAAGGCTTGAGACTGAGCCAGTCTGGTAGAATGCAGAAAGGCTGACAGCTCTTGAAAGACCAAGGCTCATAAGAACACCCTTTTGCTTGGCTCCCAGAGAAAGGAGAAAGCAAACCAGACCACATGTTGAATACCATGCTTAATACTGGCAGAAGAGCCCTTTGAAAAATGCATTTGTGACAATGTCAAGTATGTGCTAATGGCAGAGTGGGGGCCCTTTGTGGTCATCCTTCTGTTTAAGTTGGCCTAAACAGATAATTCAGCTGCCTAGACTGTGGAAAGATCTAGCACCTCTTCTAAAGAAAGTCCCCAGAAAGCCTTTGTGTGGCTGGGAAAACCCTACCTGTCCTTCCCTCTGTGCTGGAAAATGAAGAGAGGCTGATGATCTGGACTATTCCAATAAATATACCACTTACATACAAACTGCTGGGGTTTTCCAGCCATCTGACCATGGTAATGGCTGAAATGGATCGTCACGGCTCTTAATACCACCACATACGAGTTTGCCTCATGATTTCACCCGTAGCTGCCTGCAAGCACATGTAGTGGTGCATTCCCTCCCTTCCCTTGGGCCTCGGCCTTGACAAACAGCACCTGGGCTAAGGTCCCCTTGAACTTACAAAAAAGCTCACTGTCTGTTCCCAGGAACTAACGCTGTCTAATGAGCTCCTGTTTTTTTAATGAACAGCCTTAGAAACTTATTTTTCTTGCCTGAATAATAACCCAAGTGGAATAACGTTTTCCTTATCAAAGTTTCAAAGAAAATTACCGACCAGGATGAAAAATTATTGCGACTAAAGCCCACTCTCTCATGACCTTATAAACAGCAGTCCAAAGTGAGACCCTTTGAGCTCTCCTGAACCACAGTGGGCTGCAACCAGAACGGGGCCTCTCAGAGTCAGTTGGCGAACTCTGAAGTTGGCTATACTCAGAGGATTGCCAAATGACAACGATGGACTCTGTGCTGACACCCCCTCCTGCCTCGAGGCTCAATCCTTCACCCGCTGAGAAGATGCAAGCACCTCGTACTTAACTTATTTAGGTCTGTGTGTGTGCAGGTGTCAATATGCTACAGCAAATGTACTATGATTGTTGCTCTGCTAGATTCTTAAGTACTTTAGATTTGTAGGTTAGGCCTGATTTAACTGTTGTACTATAGTAAATTCTAAATGAATACTTTGTTAAATTGTTTAATTTAAACTATCGCTTAAATGCTGTTAAGTTTAAGTGATGTTAAAACCTTTAGGCCTAAACTGTTGGTCAAGTTTGGGGCTCAGGTTAGCAAGGGTGTTTACTCTGAACCTTGAGACTCAACAGGAAAGTCTTCTTTATTCCTTTTTATCCATACCATTATCCTTCCTCCCACCCCAGCCTCCATGAAGATAATTTTTGGGTTGACATTGGTTTTAGATTTATTTTAGCTTTTTGTTTGCTTTTTCTCTTTGTGCTTTAACCATCTAGTAAGTAGTAGAGTGAACCTTGCCAGTGAACTTTGTTGTGCTTTCACTTTTATGTTAAACCTGCTTTTGCCAATACCTTTGCCAGTGATTCAAGTGACCTTAAAACACTCATTCACGACAGCATGTTAGAGCAAGACAAAATGGGGCTTTACCATAACTTCTGTAGGCTACAGCTTGGCATCAGCAACCCTTTACACAGGTATTCAACACCTGCATCTCCCAGTTCATTGTTGTTCAGCTTCAGCTCTGTGAGGGATGGATTTGTATTGATGATGGAAGAGAGATCCTCACAGTTACTGCTGGAGAGATTGCAGTCATCCAACCTGAAAGACACAGAGAGAAGGAGCATTTTAGTTCCCAGAGCTGCTCTGTTCTCCCTGGCTGGAGCATTCCCTTTTAAAGCAAAGTGGGCAATTTAGTCCTCTGCAGTTCCTGGGATGCCTCCATAAGTATGTGTGTGACCTGTTGAGCGTTGCATGGCCCAAAAGTGCTCTCTGCAGGGCTGCAGTACAGGATGGGCTGGGTGGCAGTTCCCCAAGCCTCACTCCTCCTCTGTGCTGCACAGAGGAGGGCACAAATCATTCCCCTTCAGCTGTAGGATGCACCTTCATTTAAACAGTCATAGTGGCAAACTGCCTGCCATCTGAGGCCATGTCTAACCAGAGGCAGCTCACAGGCTGTCAGACTGGTTCTGCACTGAGAACAACCAAGTTGGATCTTCAGCCAGCCCCAGAGACACCCACAAGCAGTTTGGTCTCCTGTAGGTGAGTCATGCTGGTTTGCACCATCTCCCTCCACCGTGAATCTCAGCACACAAACGGTGAGTTTGCAGTATGGCAGCAGCTTCTCCCACTGGACATCAGCATTTTTCTCGCTGTTGCTAAATTGATGTGGGTTAACTGAATTGAAAGGATCAGGAGCCCAGGACAAGCAGAGAGCCGTAGAGGGAGGCAGAAAAGACATGGGGGAAAAGGAAGGTGTCATGAAGAACCCTACAGCCCCAGCCACAGTCAGGATTGCCAAAAGTTGCCTGGTCACTTTTCTTAGACAACAGCATGAAAACTGAGGGTCCACTAGGTTTCTCCTTCTGCCCCTCTGGCAAGAAGACTTGATTCCCAATGAGACTGTGTTCAATACTGATGAACAATCCATGCTGCAGCCACTCTCATCCACTACATCTGGAGCAGCCCACCCTCTGCCCAGGAGACAACCATCCCACTGCCTTCTGCCACCCAGGGCAGGCCTCAGGAAGTCAAGGCCAGGCCCATGAAGCTTGCCTGCAAAAGCTCTTTTGCAAAACAAAAGCAAGCCACCTTCAGCCTGGCTGATGTCCTCCGAGGCATTGCTGGCATGATGCGGCCCATCCTCTCCAGCCTGAGCAGGATGATACCAGCCTGTGGGGTGTGAATTCCCAACCAGCAGAGGCGAAAGACTGCAGGAGCAACTCTTCTGGGCCCTGTCCTACACTTTACACCCCAGGAAAGGGTTCCCTCATGCTGTCTGCTCAACAAAGAAGGTTGGTACTTCTGAAGGTCAAGTGAAGAATTAAAAGCCGATGGCAGGTGGCTTGTGTGTGACTATTAAGCAAAAGTTAAGACAGCATCTAAGCTGCAGCCCAAAGAATGTGCAACCTAATGAGCACAGGGTGATGTCTTCCCCCTCCTGAGGGAGAAAAGCAGAATAACCAAAATGGTGGTCAAATATTAGATAATCACATCACCTAGCTGAGCTCTATGGCACATCATGGAATCAGGGCAACATTGCTTCATACCAAACGATGTTTATCTGTTGTTGAAAAACTTTAAATTAATTTAACTTTCTGGATAAAAATAGGTAGAATCAATACTGTTGCTGATCAATTTCTAAGTCCTATGTCAAACAGTTCTGAAGGTGAAGAGCACAGGAGAGAATTGCAACAGTTCTTACTCAGAAGAGATGATACACAACTGGTTACTACCTGATGGTTTTGCAGGATTTCATTGTAGTCAGAAGTTCAGCCCATCTGGATGGGCTCATCTCCTCACACTGGATGTCAAGCTCCATTTTGACAGTTGAGATAAGACCTGAAAATTAAAACAAAACAAAACCACCTTTTTTTCTAATTGACTGAGAAGCAACAACATTCTCCAACCCCCTCAGCTCTCAGCTATGAGTCACATTGTGCAAAGGGGACAGATAATATTTTTCCAACACTACTCTGCTGCAAGCACCACTATAAGCCAGCAGAGTTGGAATGGTATTGTTTGGGACTTATCAAGGCCGTTCTCCACGAGGGAAATAGGAATCCTGGAGAGATATGGCAACAGCCGGTTATCTGAAAGCTGCTTGTGTGAAACTAGGAAGCTTCCCTTCCCTCTCCAAGGGAGCTTAACCAGAATGAGCTTTTCAGAGGCGCTGGTGTTACTCACTATTGCACTGCTGAGCCACACAGATGCCAAGCTCTACCAGCGTGATGCACCGACCAACTGTGGAACCTCAAGCTATAATTAAAACCGGGATAATTTTGAGAGAATTAGGGTCAGTGAGAAAAATGAACATGAGAACTGCCTGGGCTCAAATTAAAAATCCTGTGAGTCATATGTCTGTATGTGAGAAGTGGAACCTCGGTGAATGGGAAAAGCGTTCCTTCATGCCTTAATTCCAAGGTTTGAAAGGTTGCTCTGGTGGTGCAAGTCAAGTACCAGAAGCCGGTAAGCAGGAATTTTTTTGCTCTGCAGTCAACCTGCATTTCTGAACTGATGTAAACACTGCCCCTTGCAGAGCAGCTCCAGATAAATGTGCACAAAACCACGACAAGGCCAGTAGCTGAGCTCCAGGCTTAGTTTGCAGTGGATGGGATTAGAAGCTGTGCTGCAGTAGGTGACAAAATGCAGCCTTGGTCCCCTGTTTTGGCCAACATGACTCAGACTACAGGGCGTTTGTAAAAGAAATAATCCCCTGAGCTATCACATCGGAATGCGAACTGCAGTTAACCACCGCTTTCCCTCCCAGTCACCTCCTGCTGCCACAGCATCGCGGGTATGCCAAACTCGCTTTTCTCGGAGGCGCGCTCGGCATCAGTAAGGTCTCGTCCGCAACAAACCCCTCACCCACGTGAGGAGGAGACGCGTCCGACCGCGGGGCTGCGCTCGGGAATCACGGCGGGACCCGGGACACGGCGCCAGCGGGATCACGAGCTCATGGACGTGCTCGGCCTCTGCCCTTCCCAACGCGGGCGCTGCCGGGAATGCCGGCCCACGGCCTCCGTGGGATGGCACCACAGCCCACGTGTCACGGGGTGATGCGGGTCGGAGCAACCCCCGCCCGCGGCGACACGCCAGGGGACACTCAGAGCCCTCCCCGGCATTTGCCTGGTTTTCCCCTAAACCCGGATCGACAAAAGGTTCTCCCCCGACCCCCTCGAGCCCTGCCACCTCCCTGCGAGCCGAGGGGGGATCCCGTTCCGGGGTCCCGAGCCCCGGCCCGGCGCTGCCCCGCGGGCACACCCGCCATCGCTGCTGCCCCTGCCCGGCCCCTCCGCCGCGGGCACCCGCCCCTGTGCCCGCAGCTCCACCGCCTCCCGACAGCTCCCGCACCGCGGGCAGCGCTTAACTCCCGCAACCTTCCTCCCTTCCTTCGCTCCCTTCCTTCCTTCCTTCCTCCCTCTCTCCGTCCCTCCGCCCCAGCCCCCCCTGCCCTGCTCCCCCAGCTCCTACCGCCGCGCCGCCACCGCGCAGCTGCCGCCGGCTCCTCCCGGCTCCGCCTGGTAGCGCAGCGGGGAGGGGCAGGATTTGTCCCTCCTCCCTCCCCCTTTTTTTTCCTTTTTTCCCTTTTACGCCCTTTTCCTCTGTCTCTCCTTTTTTTCCCCGTTTCTCCTCTTTCCCCTTTTTTGTGTTTCCCTTTCTTATTTTTTTCCTGACTTCTGCCTGCTTCCCTCTCCCTCCCTTTTCCCCACTTCTTTTCCCCTTTTCCCTCCTTTCTTTCCCCCTTCCACTCTCCTTTATATTTTTCCTTCATGTCTTCTTCCTTCCCTCTTTTTTCCTGTTTTCCTCACATCCTTCTTTTTCCTTTTTCCCTTCTCACCTTTCACATTCTTCTCTTTCCTGTGCTTCCCCCTTCCCTCTTTTTCTTCCCTTCCCCCCTCTTTTCCCCATCTTCTCCCTCCCTCCCTTCCTTCCTCCCTTCCTTCCCTCTTTTCCCTGTATTCTCCTCACTTCTCTCTTTCTTTTCCTCCTTCTCCCTTCTTTTCCCTTTCCCTCTTTTGTTCCTTTTCCACAATTCTGTCCTCCTTTTTCTGCTATCCCTCCTCTTACCCCATTTCTTCTCTCTTTCCCCTCTTCTCACCAACTTACCTATTTTCTTTCTCTTTTCCTCCCTTTCCTTCTACTCCCATCCCCTGTTGCCCCTGTTTCCCATCCACTCCAATCTCCCCACCCCCACCCGGAGCAGGAGCACTGGGATACAAGACAGGAGAACAGGAGCAGGAGAAATCCCTATAATTAGGGGATGCACAAAGGATGAGAGTAAAAGTGAGGTGGTGTCCCAGCTGACTCGGAGGGCAACCTGTAACCCATGCTGGGACCTGGAGGACAATGGGGATCCATCACCCAGAGGAGAGGCACCATGGCGGGGTCTTGGCTGGGGGAAACAGGACCCCGCCTTGTACTTCCCCAGGGAGATCGAAACCGGGAACTGTTTGAACTGGGAACAACAAAAACATCCATTCCTCTGTGGTGTCCCTGCCTTCCACCTTGCCAGACAGCTTGTGCACGGGGGCCCAGCTTGGAGGGCCTGGGATGTCCCCGCTCTCCATCCCTGTCACCGGTCCTATCCATGACGCATCTTTTCTCTCTGTCTCCCTCGTTAGCGCAACATGTTGCCGAGCAGACGAGCTGCACCTCGCTGGCACAAAGGCCTCTCTCTAAGCTGTCTGGAACGAAGCCGTGACAGCGATGGAGGATGGGCACGCCAGACTTCGGCCGCTGCCGTGACTGTCCCCTCCCTAGATTTCCCCCCGACCCCAGTGACCAGCGGCTCTCCCGCACCTCCCGCGGCGGGGCAAGGGTGCTAGCGCTTGGCCAGGGCTGGAAGGCATTCGTCATCGCTCGGCTCGCTTCCTCCTCCGGCTGCCGGCAACTCCCTGTCTCCCTTTTGTTTCCCAGTACTTTTAGCCCCAGTAAAAGCTCATTCAGATTTTCACGAGACAGAGCAAAGAAAGGTTTTGAAGTGCCGAGAGGCTCTAGGCAACATAGCGACTTGCCTCCCTTCCTCCCTCAGCCCCAAAATCTCAGCATCTCCCCGAGTTTTTTCTTCCTACAAACACCCTGTTCCTGTCCCCCTGGCTCACACAACAGTTCAACTAAGCACAACCAGCTGCCGCCTACAAAGGACGGCTTTAAAACGATTACGTGTTGCCCCCCGGTAAGCAGAAGGGAAAGTTCAGGGAGTTTCAGAGTCTGATTTTGCCGCTGATACGTACCTTGCTCTCGGTGCCGTCCGGGGAGCGAGGAAGGCAGAGCTGGCGCCTCCCTGCTGCCGTTACCACGCAACCTCTGCTGTCGTACACATGGTGCCTGCTAGAGGGAGGAAAGCAAGTTTTGGGCTGTGACGGTTTTTTTCCTCCCGTGGCAGCTCTTCAGGGGCTCAAGGAGCAAGCACTCTGTACGCGATTGTGTCTGGCTTAGTGACGATGCCACCATCGCACTAAGCGTGATAAGGACAGAGGTGGCTTTAACTTCTACCACTGGATCATGTAGCCACTCGACATGGTTTAGCTCAGAGCAAGGAAGTGGTTGCCTTTGAAGGATCCATCCGAAAATGAGGCCACCACACTGTTAAAGTGTGGATAGAGATGCTGGAGATTGCATAGTTTCTCCATTCCCCAGGCAAGCCCTGCCCCACCTGGCCAAGGAGTGATGCTGAGCACATTACTGCTTACCTGTCACCTCACCTAGGGGTCATCCATCCTATCTCCCAGCAGGGCCTAGGGCACAGGCAGCCCCCTGCTTCTGCACAGGCTGGATGCTCACACTGCCTGGAAGGGTCCCTTGGGAACAGCCCTGATCGTGCCTCCCTAAAACTGCTGCCTCTCAGCAGCAAGCATGAACCCATTCCTCCACCTCCTCCTCCTTCTGCTCCCCAAGGAATACCCTGCCATCACTCAAGCTGCATCACATGCTAATTGCAGGTTGAACTAACCTGCTTTCTTTCCCCATCCTTTATGGTCCGAAGATGAATTAATGTTTCAATAGCCTGTGAATGAGCCGGAGGCAGAAGGCCAGCTGCATTTTTCCCTCCCGCAGCTGTTGATGCTGACAGAGGAGATGGCACTGCAACCTGGGAAACAGAGCCTTTGCTGAGCCCCAGGTGAAGCACTAGAGGTTTTCCCTGCAGTTACCTTTATTATCCTTCCTCTGGAGGAGACGGGAACCGACCACCAGAAGAGCTCAACGAGCTAAAACCCACCTTCCTTAGTGCCCAGAAGAGAGCTAAATGCTAGAGAGTGCACCTCTTTCCCATTCCCTCCCAGGAGACACTGGACTGTCCACACAAAGAGTTTGCTAGAACAGTCCTTGTGCCTGTTTCAGGTCTGACCTGAAATCTACTGAACCACAGGCAAAAATCTGGGGATGGCACAAGGTTGGGGATGGCACAAGCTTTTGAGTTCTGCTTGTTTGGATGCTCCCTGGCAGGCAGATGGGTGAATGCTGTGGCTGGTGAAGGGTGTCTCCTCCCTTCTGTGTTGGCACGATGCTCCCAGGAAGACCACCAGTGTTAGGAAGAATGAACACTGGCAAGAGGTTGCACCATCCCCTGGTCCACCAGGCATTTTGAAATCAGATACCTGTCATTCAGCCAAACAGCAAAGGTCTCGTTTCCTATCTTGCCCCTGCTGGCATCTCTCTACTGTTGATTCTTGCTCCACTGCACATGCCAGGATTCTCTAAAGGACGAAGTCCAGTGTTTGTTAGAGGTTTCAGAGACGTTTACATCACGTGGACCTCCTGTAGACCTCCTGCCCTGGACAAAGCACCCAATACACACTGATCTGTGCTTGTGGAATATTAGATTTACAAGCCAAATAGCCATGCCAAAATGTTATCAGCTTTTATCTCTCTGTCATCCCTTTGGCTGCCCTCACTGTGGGGACAACAAGAGGCATCTTGGGACAAATCTATTGCTGTCCCCCTAGCAAGCAGGACCAGGCTGTCCTACTCACTGACGTACACACAAGTCAGAAACGATGCAAAATGGGGCTAAGAAAGCCAACAGCAAACAGTAGTGAGAAATACATGCGTGTGTCTTGCTGTAGAAACAGTGGAAGGCTCCTGGCATGGAAGGTATGTCCATTTGATTGTTTCTAC